GACTTAGGGCTCGTCGAGTCCAGATCCAGCGTAGCAGCTGGTTGATAGACCGTTCAAGTCACTATTGTACGGGAGAGGTAGGAGAAAGAATGGGAGCCACTTTACATGAATCCAACTAGCGCAAGAAGAGATAATTGATTAAAGCCTGGTTTTTTTAAAGTTTGGCAAAGCTCATACTCTATTGATGAGTCCCCTGCTTGAATTGGATCATGCCTGCTGTCGAACCTCAAATGGCTTATCTTTTTGATTTTTCAATTGGAAGCGCCAAGTCCTAATTCCTCCCGGAGTGTTTAATACTTACTATACAGAGAGAATGAGTCCGGTCAACCGCTAAACAGCAACCCAATAGATGGCACTAATTTCTAGACTCGTGGAACGACTACCACGTAGCCTAATAGATGAAAATTTTTTATACGTCTCATCGCACGGCGATCTAGAAGCCCAAAATATGGCACGTTCCATTCTCGTTGCAAGGCTGGCCGGTGGATCACTAAACGGCACCGTTTTGCGCCTCTTTCAGGGACGAGCTGGTCATTCAATAGACGAAACTGATTTAAGACTCGTCCAGTGACGAGCCGGTACACCCTAATTATTCAAGTCGGGCGTCTAATGTGCCCGGTTACCTGTAAACGCGTAGAACGCCGACATTCACTCATTGGTGTGAGCCTCAGGCGTGTAAGGTATGTAATATGCTAAGCTCAGGCAGTATTCCGGATGTAAAGGTTGCGAGGAATTGGTTGCGATAAATCTTTTCGGCAAAATATCAACTGAACCCGACGGGGCAAACAAAAAGGAAATTTGCCCCAATTGAACCCCACACAATCAACGGGAGTCCATGCATGGGTCTCGATAGCACGCGATGCCACAGTCGTCAGAGCGTGCCAGCTCACGAAAAGAGCTCGGCTACTAACTTCTGATTCTCGCGACACTTACCAAGCTGACAGACCACATGGAGAAGATGGGGTCTTCGCAGCGCGAGAGCGATGAAAGTGATCAAATTTTGGACGTTGTCGAGAACCGCACATTCGCATCTTTGCTTGCCGACCGACGCGCTTAATGCTGGACGATCGCCGCGCGTGCCTGAGTTTACAAAGTTAATGTTTGCGTCGCTTGCGCCTCCACGCGCCCAATAGCTGCTGTATTGATGTTTGAATAACCAAGCTCCATTTCCAAAGCAAAAGCTTATCGAAAAACTGCATTACCTGCATATCACGCTTAAGCTGAGGCAGTGCTCTCTGTGACGCCGAAGACAAGCCAGCAAAAGCTGCCGATACAAAAGTTTGACGAAAGGGCTCTACAAGGAACTCTATTCCAGGATTTTTATTTCGGTTGCACTTAACTGCACTCCGTCAACATGGCTTAGTCATCTTGCAGCTTTGCGTGGAGTAAGGGCTTCAAGGTAGACCTTGTCGGCTAACACCTCAGCGGAACACCTGGGCGATTTTTACACAAGCAGATGGAAACGTGGTGAAACCAGAGGCCGATACTCGACTACTTTGTGCATCGTTCAAATTTTAACATTGTATACAGTTACCACGGATAGACGTGTGATGAAGACAACCTGCAGAAAATGGAGTTGAAGCTTTAACGGGCTGAGCACAATCTCTACATGGTAGCTGTGAGCGAAGCGCGCTGGTGAGTATTTGCTGGTGTCGGACAACATCGTACACTACGCACCCCCCCCCGAGCTGATAAATGTTTTACGCACCAGATACGACCTCTCGCGTATCGACTTCCTGCACCACACCGAAGAGCCGACGCATTTTGCACAGTCAATCGATCTCGGCATCAATACAGCGGGACGCAAAGTCGTCCCTTAGCACGTTAATAAAGAGGAAAGAGAAAAGACGCACTTGCAGTGGCTGCGGGAAAGTCAGACATTTGCAATCTTAGTGTCGCTAGAAAATTATAGGCGGTAGTGGCAAGGCGATTGATGTTAATGGCTGAGGCGGCAGCCGTTTTCATTATTCAATCGCTAACCACAAACAAGACAAGAGGGCGAGCAGCGTAAGTAAATTCAAGAAACATACTAAGGGCACGATGGTCATCGCGATTAGTTACAAAGTAAGCACTGATTGAGGTGACCGGATCATCGACAGCGGCGCAAGTTGTCATCTTTCTAATGACAAAACTTCACAAATAAAATGTGCTACCATAATCCACGTGGTCTTCATGCCCAATGGCGATTCTCTGCACCTGACGCGAGTCGGTAGCGTGCGGCTGAAGGTCATATCACGCAGTGTCGAGAGCATCATGTCACTGAAGTACGTGTACCTGGCGCCACGACTGGCGAATAACATCATCTAGTATGGCAAGTTTAAAGGAAGGAATTCATCTTGTCGTCAAAGGCGAGAAGCGCGCGATTGCTTGGCGCAGTGACGGATCCGTCGCGTCCGACGTCAAAATGTACTGCATTGTGATGTAAACAGTTCTTTAAACCAAAGAATCAAGGTAGAAACGGTGCAGAAAATGCTATAATGACGTCTTTAGAAGATAACAAGACATCAGAAGTGGTGGGAGACGTCCGAGAAGGCACACTAAAGCATTACTAATTAGCGCTTTCGTGGTGAAGCGAGTATTCGAAAATGATGGACTAAGAGTAGATGACCCGGACGGACATGGGATCTAGCGGCAGAGAAAGGTACCAGGGACATAAATGTCACAGGTAAGGAGCGGCCGTTGGGTACAATCGTGACAAGCGGTTAAGGTTACTGCCAACGGGATCAAACCGACCAACGGTACCAATTAACCGTTAAGATATGGATCGTTATCAACCACTCGTCCGTCGACCGGGTTGCCCAAGGTGGACGTCGGTCACCCGTAGGCCGACGGGTTTCCAACCGTAGGCCGACGGGTTTCCAACCGTAGGCCGACCTGGTCACACACAGGTCGGATTTGGCCTCTCAGGGTCTCTCAAGGTCTGGTGGCGTCTGGCCACTCATCATAGCGAACCCAGATGTAAAACAAGGATAGAGTAAAGGAATTTAACGGAGAGGAAATTTTTAAATGCTACCCAATTTGCGATCCAAGTAGCACGACGTGTCGTGCGCTAAGAAAGTTGTAAGTCTACCGACCTGTTCCGGGCCAGGGATCTGTTTGAACCACCCATCAAATAGACATTTGTCAGTTCGACAAAAGGGTACGTATAACTCCAGGAAGTCCATTGGCCTGTGGGTTTGTAGAGTAGCAACCCACCACCCAATCCCGCTCTAGGAAGCGGCCTCCATACCCTACTGGTAAGGGAGAAGACACGTAAAGGCCAGGCAGTTAACACCCCTGAGACAAGTAAAAGCCAGGCGCCACCAGTACTTGAGACAACTGGTTATAATACCAATCTCGACCAAGTCGATCGAGTGTCCGCCTACATTGGACCCCGACTAAAGCATATCCGCTCGGCCCCCCCCCATGTCATCCCCCAGCAAGGCCGACGTCTACATCATCACCAAGTCCTCCAAAAAGTGAAACCCACCAAGCCTACGGGTAAACAGGGTGAGTCAAGTTCCACAATCGGCATCGGGGTACCCCCTCCGACGGTCGGCAGTCCGGAAAAGTGAGTGGTTTGGGGTCTCGTCAAACAGTTTTGACAATCCACTCCACCACAATGGTCCGCGTGCCCGGATATTTGGAAGACGCGGGATTTCACCGCGAGTCCTAAGATGAAGAAGATGTCAAGGTCACCTAAGAACAGAAGACCGATAAACCACTGGAAGATCGACCGCCAGTGACACAAGAAGACAAAAACAAAGAGTCGAAGGACCGACCTTCCTTGGGAGGGGTCCGTTCAAAACGTTCAAGGTTGAAAATATTTAAGAAAAACACCTCAGGACCACCGACGTAGTCGGATCAACGGCCGAAGATGCAATTTGGAAAGCTATGATCCCCGACACCAAAGCCTTCTAAGACCGCTAAGTATTAGCCGAAAAACACGAAGACGCCTGTGGATACCAAGTCGGTGAGCCCTGCCCAAGCAGGACCGCCAGCCTGGTCGGACGATGCTGTGACGATCGCCACCACCGACGCAAGCTTGACCACCTCTTGGCAAGCGACCCCGTCGCGAAATCCTTGAGATCCAGTTGCTTGGACAGCTAGGGGGACTGGTGTCACCCATGCCGCGCCTCCGGACGGTCACAGAGGCGATCACTGCGCTGGTAACCCTCATCCGCTAGGCAAAAATGGCTGCAGGAAGGTTCGAGCCAAGCACTTTGTCCCACCTAGGATTTGACAGCATCAAAAGCATGTTGGAGAAGTTGCACAAGCGATTGGCGATTCTGGTTATGACCACCACCAGACACAATAACGTATCACCAGCGCAACCAATAACGACGCCGTCTAGCGACAGACAGATGAAGCTTCAAGACTTCGTCACCCAACCCCAAGCACGACCACAGCTCGACAAACCGAAGGTGACGCGCCGTCCCCCACCAGCGAATCTCCCGCCAGGGATCCAAGATGCGGATGAGCGGTCGTCACCCTGTTCGTCTGCTCTTAGCCAGTACGACCAAATGCCACTGGGACTGGCAGGATCAGCGATGCTCCAGGCTTGTGCAAGGGGCGGAGCGACCAATCAACATGATCACGAAGCACCGACACGTGTCCACTTAAACATCCGAGCGCCTGATAGGGTGAATTTTCACCCAATGGGAACATAGCACGGTCGTTACCGAAACTCTGCACCACCACGTGACAAAGATGACGAGGGGATGCTCCTACCAACAAGGTGTGTAACTTGCAGACATACTTCGACGCGGCAAAGGCACGATTTCTACAGAAAAGCCAGGTACAACAAGGAAACCAATATGGAAGGGCGACCGCAGAACACAAATGGCGCAGGTGACAGAGGATCAACAAACACCAAGAATTCGAGCGCAAGCTTCTAAATAACGTACTATGGTTGACGTGGAAATGGAATCAGTCGGTTGGTGTGAGTACGACCCAGATGACATGTACTGGGGGGACCACTGGCGAGGATGGCGACAGCTACAGTAGGACAAATGCCCAACATGGTCCCTCGCATTGAACTTGCAGCTACATCGGACCTCAAGGATTTCCACGGAAATGATCAAGACGAGGACCGAGCACGCAGTTGGTCGACCGCGGTGAAAACCGCGTTCACGAGAGATCAAGCGCCCGAAGATGAAAAGTGTCTTGTCTTCGGTGGATTGCTAACTGGACCAGCTCAAAACTGGTATCGCCAACTGGGTCGCTCGGCTCGATCAAGCTGGAAGGATCTCCTACAAGAGTTCCGATGCAGTTCTGTGGTTAGGGAGCGCCAGTTGCTCGCCAACACTACCATGCGAAGAAGAGGTCAGGTGAGTCACCATTGGACTACCTGTACCTACCCAATGTGATTGGACTCAGGGCGAAGATCAATATTAAGGACGGACCGCACAAGGTACAAAAGGAACACGTCCAGCACTACATCGAGACTTTAGACGAACCGAAACTGGCGGACTAGCTCACGATATTGCGTCTGGCGGATGTGGACTAATTGGAAGACGTGCTGAGTAACAGGCAGAGAATTAAAGCGCGGCAAGGTAAGGTACTCTTTGTATCAAGCAAGTTTCGACAAAAGGCACCAGTATTACCCGACCGACTAAGAGAACTAAAGTGCCGGTCGTTTCATGCAGTTCGGGAGAACATAGAAGGTTCGAGTTCGGACAATTTGAGCTCGGACGGCTCAAGTGAAGAAGGTGACCTGAGGCGAATTCACTTGATGGCAATGGAAGGACAGAGGGACACAGGTGCGAAGATCGCATAGGCCGACCCATTCGGGAGGCCGAACATCACCGTCACCATCACCTTCACCATGAAGGTGACCAGGGATCTCGCCCGACTTCGTCCGCTCAACACCAGAAGTTTTCTCACTGTGGATCTCGAAAGCATGGATATTCAGGTTGCTGGAAACGAATCAATTGCGACCGCTATGGATAAAGGGGTCACCCAACGGTCGTTGTTTGTTTGTGTGAAGGGGTGTGAAAAGGCCCACGAGGCTGATAAGTGCTAGATAGAAGAGTTTTATACTTGATCTGTCAATGGTACAGCCCGACCAAGCACGCCGGGATGTTTCCGGAGAAGACAGAGAAGATGAGAAATTAGAGCGCTTGGCAGGTTTGAATCTGGTACGAGCCGAGCGTTCTAATTATCAAGTCTTTGCATGTGTGGAAAAGCGCTTCGAAGTAGATATAGGTACCCCACAGGAAGAAAAGAGTTGCAAGGAGGATACCGCACTTAAGAAGATTGGGAATATATCAATGATTGAAAGCTACCCTGTGGTTCATATTGATTGCCCTGATGACCCCAATGGCTTTGCTCGAGGAGATGCGGCAATGGAATTGGACCTACTACCAGGCGAATACAGGGGCTACTAGAAAACCATGCTCCTTCGAGGTGGTTCAAGCAGGCCAAGGCCTCTGGAAAATTCAGTAACGATCGCGCAAACTTGTCGTTTGATGCTAGTGCCGAGATATCCATTTTAGATATCGCCTTTGCTCGCAAGGTAGGTTGCCATATCGATGAAAATGCAAGACAAGAATGTGTCAGTATTTGAGAGTCAATAGATACCACAGAAGGACGCACTCGCATCAAGTTCACCCTGAACGGAAACTTGGTGTATACCTTCAAGGTATGGGTTGGGCCGATGGAAGGCCAAAATGTAATTTTGGGGATGGACTTCATGGTCCCCGCTGGCTCCACTTAGATCTGGGGTTTGGAGCACTCTGTCTCCTGGATGAAGTTCGTTTAAAATTGGCCGGCCGACGAACGCTTTACGGTGGCAGATTGACCGACGTGAAGCTGGGCCAATTCGCATAGTTACCCGTTGGAGGGAATGTGGAAGTACCGCTGAAAAGATCGAACTCGGAGCAGATTGTGCTATGAGTAACGAGAGGCGAGCGGTGGGTCACTACGGTGATCCGAGGGGTAGGCGACGTCAATTCTTGAAGGTGACCGATGTCAGCACACAGTTTCTAAGTCTACATGAAGACACCGGGATTGGAATGTTACTAGCGAAGGACCAAATACCGAGGACACTCGGGTTCGTCACCGTGGGATCTCGAAGATACGCCGAGTGGTGGAATTTGGCAAACAAAGCTACCACCGATAAGAAAGCCCATCAGTTGGACCAGATGGAGGAAGACGAGGCGACATTAGTGGACAAACCCCAGTATAATACCCCATTACATATTCTGCATGACCGCAAAGATTCAATTGGTGATGAACGTTTCTCTCCAACAGCTGCCAGTGGAGAAAAACCCCAACATGCAAAAAGGCCACCGTACCCAACCTTTAGAAGCCGCCGTCACTCGACAGATGAAAGTAACGGTTACTCAGCCTTTGGAAGCCGGTGTCCCCGAAGCAAGAACGAAACACGAGGACCTAGCACAAGCTGAAGACCAAGTGTGCACGTTTGAGAGCGGAGAACTCTGAGCCGAATAAATAAGCCAAGGATGGGCAGTAATATCAGAAGTAGACCGCTCGCCCGAAGGCATCGAGTTAAAGGACATACAAATCCCTGATTAGGATGGGAACACGCCTGAAGAGTTGGATCAGTTGAGGCAAGTCGCATGGAAGAAGCGACATCTGCTAATGGGAAAAAGCGACGCCTTAACGCCAGACGCTCGTGGTGCCATATGCGACATCGACGTGGGAAATGCAAGACCGATTGCACAACGCGTGAGAAAGGTAGTCCTTTAGTTCAAAAAAAGTTGGCCTGCCTGATCAAGGGTCTACTGTCAGCGAAGATTATTCAACCGTTACCTCGCCGTAAGCCAGCCTAATAGTAATCATCGTGAAGACGAATGGGGTAGACATCAGGTTGTGCATTGATTACCAGTTGGTAAACGGCCCGAATCAACTCATGGTCCACCCCATGCCACTGAGTATCGAGTTACTAGAACACTTAAATAGTGCGTTGTAGCACTGCTCTCTCAATACGGCAAGTGGTTTTTGGGAGGTCAGCATGACGGAGAGGGCAAGGTTTATTTCAGATTTTGTCACACCGTTGGGACTGGTCGAATGGCTGCGGATGCCATTCGGACTCAAGAATGCACCACAGATCTATCAGCGACTTTTAGACAAAGCGTTATATGGGTTCTTACGTAAATGTAGCGGAGCTACACAGCTCCTTAAGTCAGAGGAAGACTTAACGCTCTACTAGCAACTTAGTTTTAAAGAACTAAGTACTTAACGAGTCAACAAGCTTTACAGCTTCAGATCCCTGTTCCAGGGGGACCTAACGATTCAGTGAATCGACAGCACTCAGTGCTCAAGAGTAGCTACCTCAAGGAGGTGTCGCTAGCTCTTAGTGATCAGTGATCAACGATCAAGACGGCTCGCAAGCCACGTGTTTTTAGATCAAAATGGGAACTGATTTTATTTTTTTTAACGCTTATAGAATATCTTAATCCTACTCAAAGATCTTTCGTACCTAATGGCTGACACTCGTCAGCCCCTACAAACCAATAAGATATTCGATATCACATTCAAAAAGGAATAACCTCAGGTGTGTAACACCCCTGGTACAACGAACCATAATCTCGTGCAACCCCGTCACCCCCCCACCAGACTGACGTTTTCCAAAACGTCAATCGAACTTGTGTTCTCAGCGAGGACAGTGCGCGTACGGTGAACCTCACGGTAACGTACGCTCCAGCACGATGTCCTCATCACCAAACGAGTCAAAGGCTCTGTGTGACTACCTCGGGATAGAGGAGGAGGTAAACTATGGTAGCGATACCAGTATCCGCGGTGATACAGGGACAATGTCCGGCTCACTGATGCCTGAGGCACAACTTTCGAACACCCCTCATCTGTTCGCTGAACGTGGAGATGCGAGCGCGCCACCAGCACAGTATGCAGCGTCTGGGTCTGATGAGACTATCATCACGAACCCGCTCGATGAGCAACAACAACTGCTTGTTCAAAGAGAAGAAAACGCTCAGCGTCATGTACAAATGGCTACAACCCTTGAACGCCAGCGTGACTATGTGTTCACCCCACCCAGTGTGGAGGAACGTCTACGTCAAGCGGCCGGCCAAACATTGGCAACGTGGGTCATTGGCCATGGGCCTAAGACTCCTTAGGAGGTTGTGAGCTACCAGGCACTTCGCGAGAGGTACCTGGAGCCGCACCTAACGACTCAAAGTCAATACAAGGCACGCCTTAACATGCAAGCGCGTGGTACACCGGTTCCACCGATCAAGGGTATACCCATTCTCTTCCTCGCAGGCGAAACAGTGAGCGAAGAAGACGATGCCTTCGTTCACTGGGTGCACTATGTGCGTCGCCTCAGCAACATTTTTGCTCTAAGGGCTAGTGCCCGTGCGGCTGATGTGCGTCTCGAACGCAAGCTTCGGTATGATTATGCCAAGCTTAAGGCCAGAGGCCAATTGCGCAAGCGCACGCGCTATGCTTCGGCTACTAAGGTAGCCACGAGTGCTGGTCAGTCTGTGGCCAACAACCCGCCAACCCGTACCACTAGTGGTGAGGAACGGCCTCGGTCTCGAGATGACCATGGCCATGATGTTTAAAAGCCTCCAGAGCACATGGGCAGTCTTGCCGAAGGAGGACCTCAAATTCCCATGAGTTTTCAGACTCAGGGTACCCACGCCACTTTACCAGATACTGGTATTGGCCCTGACGACGACGTCGTTTCATTAGTCTCTCGACATGAAATTTACGACACCCATGCTCATCGAGCAAAGTCGGTGGCGGCCGGTGTACCGGTGGAGGCCCACGAGAAATTGGTTCTCGAAGTGAAGGGTCCTCAAGAGGCCTTGGGTAAGTCCCAGTGCATGCTGGATGCGATGCAAAGCCGCCTTCAGGCGATGGAGCAAGCTCAAAATCGGAGCGAGGCTCAGTTGGACTTGCTAAATCGCCTACAGCAATCCGGGGCAGTGCCTATGTCGTCGGCGCAAGCGCCTCCAAGTTCACATGGGAAGGATCCCGGTGCGGCTTTAGTAAGCCTACGTAGAATTCTGGATGTGTGCGCAATTTGCGCGGAAGGTTTATCGTGTACGCAAGTCCCTTCTTGGCCGTGACCGTAAACGGTCCAATAAAGCGTGGACGCAACTTAGTCTTAAAGACAGCAGACACTACATTTGTAGGTATTTTTAGCTTTGAGTAGTACTTGGTCTCTGACCTCATAACGTTCAATACAATTTCTGCCTTTGGCATCAGCTTGTTGTTTTTGGGTATCTTGGCTATCAGCCATTGCGTCACGCACATGTCTTAAGACATTTAATCGCGTTGCGAGAAACTCGCTTACCTGTTTTTGGACAGTAGCAGGGCTGATATCAGCAAGCCGATCGGCAACCTATCCCCCATTAAGCCCTGAATCACGTAGTGATAGCGTTAACGGAACGCGAGGGTGGGTGAGACCGTTTATATAGAACGGAGTAAAGCCTGTTGAGGCATGAACAGCGTAACTCAACGCAAACTCAACAACAGGGAGAATTGAGCTCCAACGCCTAGGTGTATCAGCGCAAATACTGCGCAAAATATTGTTGATGAGGCGGTTTACGCGCTCAGTTTGACCGTCGGTCTGCGGATGATCCGCTGTGGACATATCCAACCGAGTGCCAAGCTCCTTGAAGATAGACTTCCGAAATTTCCCAGTGAAGCGGGGGTCTCTATCAGAGATAATTGACACAGGCAAGCCATGTTGGCGAAACACACGGTAGACAAACAGCTTTGCTGTACCTTCAGCATCGATGCTATCCGGCACAGCCGCTAAGTGAGCCATCTTGCTCAATCGGTCAACAAAGACCACAATACCAGTGTTTCTTTCCGAATCTTTCGGTAGGCCAAACGCAAAATCCATGCTCATGGACTCCCAACAACCGGTGGGTACTGGCAAACTAGCCAGCGGCGCCGCCGCATGTGCCGTGGGTTTTACCCGCTGACACGTTTCGCACGTACGCACATAGGTGCGCACCCACATATAAAGTTTGGGCCACCGATAACTTTGGCTCACCGAGCTATAAGTCTTCTCACGACCGAGATGACCACTTAAAGCAGTATCATGTGCCTCATAGAGGATCCGATACTTTAATTACTCATCATGAGGTACAACGATACGAGGGTTGTCCTCAATATCCGTGCGATAGCACAACAGACCATTATCGATGGAATATCGATGTAGCCTCGCACGTAGACGTGCCGACAATAATATGTCCGAGTCTTTAAACTCATCGCTCCCAAGAGCCCGTAGCAAAGCTACACACTGTTCATCATTGGCATATGTCGCACGGATTGAGTCAGTGACCGACGACGACAGAGTCGTAACATGAGCAAGCTCATAGTCAGGTCTACGCGATAACGCGTCAGCCAAAACGTACTGTTTTCCTGACTTCATCTCGAAGTTTTACTCCGCAAAAAAGGAGAGACAACGAGCCATTCTCTGCGAGAGATGAGGCGACTGTGTTGCTGGGCGTAATGACGCATGATCTGTTTAGATCACAAACGGCTTGGCGCCAAGCAGATGTACTCTGAATTTCACTAGAGCGTACTTCATCGCAAGTAGCTCCTTGTCATGAACTGGATAGTTCTTCTCTGCAGCTTTCAGCTGACGAGACTCAAACGCGATGACGCGTTCGCGTCCATCGACATCTATTTGTAACAGAGCACTGCCAATGGCAATGTCCGAAGCGTCACATACGACGCTAAACGGGCGACCAGGATCAGGCAAAGCCAGAATTGGCGCCTGAAGGAGACTCTCCTTAATGGCTTCAAAAGCCTCGTGGTGCTCGGTGTTCCAACACCATTCCACATCCTTTTTAAGGAGATTTGACGATGGCCGAGCCATATCTGCGTAATTTGCACTGTACTTATGTAAGTAATTGGCAAGGCCAAGCCACTTACGCAAGTCCTTTTGGTTCTTGGGGACTGGCCAATCGACTATGGCTTTCACCTTAGCGGGATCCGCTCGAAGGCCTCGCTTCCCAACGAAGCGCCCTAGAAAGGGAAGCTCTTCTGCACCAAAGATGCACTTCGATGCGTTAGCATGCAACTTATTCGTTCGCATGCACTCGAGCACCGCTCGTAAATGATCGATGTGGTTATCAACATCTGATCGCCCATTCATTGCACGACTACGGACAAAAATGTCATCAAAGTACTTTTGTGCATTGCCTCGATGAGGTCTGAATAGTTGCGTTACCAACCAATTAAATGTAGCCGGGGCGTTATATAGCTCTTGTGGCATAACGAGCCACTCCCAGAGCATACCGCTCGGAGTACTCACCGCTGTTAGCGGAATATCACTTACTCGCATGAGCAGTTGGTAATAACCATCGACTAAGTCGAGTGCACTGTACAATGTACATCCTGCCATATTGTTCTGAAGAACATCCTTTCTAGGAATAGGCGTCTGCGCCGGTATAGTGGCTGCATTAAGATTATTATAAGCATGCACAATACGCCACTTGCCTTTTGGCTTTTTGACACAAAATGTCGGTGTTGAATGGGGAGATTTACTCTCACGAACCATTCCAGCCGCGTGCTTAGCACGAAAGAAATCGTCAATGACGTCACACTGTTCTTTAGGCAAAGGCCACTACCGTGTTACACAGTATTTAGTTCCAGGAACCAAGTCAATCTCATGACGTACACCTCTATCGGGAGGTAAGGCAGAAGGTGGGTTGTGACACACCACATCTTGAAATTCCTTAACTAAAGGATAGAACGGATACAAAGCATCTTTAAGGATCGAAGATCCACTTCGTGCACTAAGTGCGCCTTCGTATCCTCTAGGACAGACTCATCCACTAACGAGGAAGAGTTCAACTCAGAATCAGGTCTAATGACCACTAATTCGGATAACTCTCCTACCTTTAAGGCCTGGCTAAACTCGCCATCAGACATTGCGTCTAGCTCACAAAGAGCGTCCACGGATGGAAGGGTTGCAAGGCAAACACTGCCATCAACCTGACCAGTCACTCCATTAACAAGTGCATATAGTGTATCACTATTATCACTATGTGACAGTGAGGACGCCTGGCGCTTAAAAGTAGCTACCCGGCGTCTCGATCGTCTCTTCGAGACCTTAAACCCCTTAGGGGTCGGGCCAATATTGTCCCCATGGTTACTACCAACCATAGAACGCTCTATACGAGAGCTTTTGTCTTGACCGGCGTTAAGCGTGGTGCCCTCACGGCCGTCCACACTATACGGCGTATCGCCAACAATATCATTACTGACATTAGGTGTGGTGCCCTCACGGCCGCCCACACTATGCGGCGTATCGCCAACAACGCCATTACCGGCGTTAAGCGTGGTGTCCTCACGGCCGTCCACACTATACGGCGTATCGCCAACAATATCATTACTGACAGTAGGTGTGGTGCCCTCACGGCCGCCCACACTATGTGGCGAATCGCCAACAACGCCATTACCGACGTTAAGCGTGGTGCCGTCACGGCCGCCCACACTATATGGCGTATCGCCAAAAATGTCATTACCGACATTCAGTGCGGTGCTCTCACGGCCGACCGCACTCGGTGTAATTTCACGTGCCACCACACACACATCGAAGGAATCACATCCTTGATCACTCGGCCCTAGGCCAACCATGCTTTCAGCATTCAGTGACTCGTTATCACAAAGAGTAACACTCATAGGAGTACGTGCCGTTTCACTAGTTGTAGACGAGCTAGGCTCGAAACTTATGTTTGTAACATTGATATTAGATAACTCAGACATTCCAATATCCAGCACATTGACATCTTCTGTCAAAGGCTCGCGCCAATAGCGTTTTTGTTGCCTCGCGAAGGTGGGTTCATGACTCTCCAAAGCTTCGCCAGGAACATTGCGCGTAGCGCCTAAGGTCTTAGACCTCAATCAATCCATGGCTCAAGGCGATCAAGCCAAGCCATACCTAGGATGAGATCATATCTCGAGTCCAAATCTAGGGCAAGACAGCGCTCAATACTGTCAAAGTCTAAAAACTTTATACCTAAGTTCAATGGAACTTTAGGCACAGTTACGCGACTTCCAGTCGCTAAACGAACCGTGATAGAATCAACCATATGCGCTGTAAGCGCCTCAGCATAACTCTGACTTCCCTCAAGGGAACGGCGTCGAGCACAATTGCAAGACGCTCCAGAATCTTTCAATATCGACCAAGGCTTCTCAAAGCCCTTAATTTTCGCCTCGGCGACCAACTAGCCAGACTTGTAACAACGCACCATACCTGTAGGTATGGTACTCTTTGAAGCTAATCCCTGCATTCCTTTACCTTCTAAAGGTGTAACAGAACATAGTTCTTCCCCAGTAGGGCGCCCCGCGCCTACTGGGTGTCGGCATTTCCCCGTGCCATGCCAGACTTCTGACTCGGGGTCGAGTGTTGGCTCGTAGCCTGGCGTTGCTTACGCAACGGGCAACCAGGCCGCAAGTGTTTAGTGCTTCCGCACGTAAAGCATCGTCGTACGACGTGTTGCTGCTCAGCAGCTTGAAGCTCAGCTTCACCTCCATCTTCAGCATAGCTGAGATCCATCGGTTCCGGCCTATTATAGGCAGTGGTACCCGAATAGTTTGCTCTCACAGAGCGAGGATTGAATCCATTCCAACCAAGTCTGGCCGACTTGAAGTTGTGCTTAGCATTAAGAGCAATTCTCACAGCCTCTTCAAACGTAGAGGGGTGAACCCGAAAAACCTCGGTTCTGGCAATGCCAGTACGTAGACCTTCCATGAAGATAGTCACATGGACTGCTTCAGGCAGAGGGTCAGACTGCATTGCAGCCATGAGCGTTCGCAGCTCTTGGACATAGTCCGATAGTTCATTTTTACCCTGGCGGGTAGAAAGAAAGCGTGAACGCACGCGGTAAGCCTGGTTAGGTGGAGAAAACACCTGTACCAATTGTGACTTGAGCGACTCCCATGTGGGAAACGCTACGTCCACCGACGTGCTACACGTCAAGGCCCATTCGCTAGCTCTACCATCGAGCTTCGAGATAGCCAGCGAGACCTGTTGATGGTCAAGCGTGATCAGACCTGATCTCATGGCCATCTCGATCTCACGGATCCAAAGGATGAGGTTCTCACCCTCTTTACCGGAGTAGTTTTTTACTTCCACTCTAAGTGGACGAGGCTTAGCCTGTTCGTCTGGTACAAACACGTAGCGTGTAGGCATAGCCGACGCTATTTGGTCTTGTACCTGCCCTAAAAGGGTCGCTTCATACTGCATGAAGCTTTCAACACGTGAATTAAGCACTTCAGGACCTTGTAAAACAAGAAACTCCACGTACTTTAAACCCAAAGATGCGGTAAGCTTATCAAGCGCGACCTTTTGGGCCTCAGATAGGGGAGTGGGGTTTTCCATCCTCACAGGGGATCAGTCTTAAAGACTCAGGCGTAGATTGACTACGAGTGCTACCAAGTGTAGCGGAGCGACACAGCTCCTTAAGTCGGAGGAAGACTTAACGCTCTACGAGCAACTTAGCTTTAAAGAACTAAGTACTTAACGATTCAACAAGCTTTACAGCTTCAGATCCCTGTTCCAGGGGGACCTAACAATTCAGTGAATCGACAGCACTCAGTGCTCAAGAGTAGCTACCTCAAGGAGGTGTCGCTAGCTCTTAGTGATCAGTGATCAACGATCAAGACGGCTCGCAAGCCACGTGTTTTTAGATCAAAATGGGAACTGATTTTATTTTTGTTAACGCTTATAGAATATCTTAATCCTACTCAAAGATCTTTCGTACCTAATGGCTGACACTCGTCAGCCCCTACAAACCAATAAGATATTCGATATCACATTCAAAAAGGAATAACCTCAGGTGTGTAACACCCCTGGTACAACGAACCATAATCTCGTGCAACCCCGTTACAGTATATCTCCGGGGACAAGATTAGATGATCCAGAAGATTTGTTCGCGTCGGGGAGCCGGACACAGAGTCAGGCTCCTCGATATTGGGTTGTCGTTCGTGCATAGATGACATAATTAAACCTGATGAATCTTGGAACGTGTTATGCAACAAGGTGTAACGATTGTTGGACGTATGCGACTACTGGAATTTGTGAATCAGTGCTATCAAAAGTTTGTGGGGATATCGAAGAGTCGACTACCTCGGTCACCGGGTATCCAGAGAAGGATTGGAAGCCCACCTTAAGGATTTCCAAGCACTAGTCAACCTACCTCTACCAACAACGCTCAAGGCCACGTAGTCGTTCCTCGAAAGTCTAAATTACTACCGCAGGTTTATCGAGGATTATGCTATCTTTGCGTCGGGCCCTGAACGAGTTGATAGAGGTGGACTTACACTTGTGGCGATGCAAGTTGAGTGATGGTCACCACTCAGAGACCACGGGTGAAGACGAAGAGACATGATCTCGAGTTCAGTAGGCTTTCACTGTGCTCAAGAACAAGATGACTAAAGCGCCTATTTTGCGGCATTTAGACCTGTCAAAAGGGGCGGTGATTATTGTCTACACGCGCAAATAGGCCATCTCAGCGTCGTTGGAGCAGGACTATGACGGACTATCGATGCCAGTGAACTTCACTAGCCGGATACTTAAAGCCAACGAGTTTAACTACAGTACCGTGGAGAAAGAAGTGCTGGCGCTGTTGTGAATGTTGGAAACTTTTTTTAAGATGCTGGTCACCCGACCTCTCAAAGTACTAACGAGACACTCGACGTTGGCCTGGTGGTCAAATCCTATGGATTGCAGGGGTGTTTGGAAAATTGGGCCGCCCTGTTGTCCCAGTGGACATTAGAGATTGTGAAGTGCAAGAAAGGTGAAGATCAGGTGCTGGGAGAGTTAGCAGCCAGTATTACCCCCCCTTACGAGAGTGTAGACTCGATACTATCGGCTATCGCATCCAAGAAACAGGCGAAGAAGAAGATTGATCTACCTACGCCTACTGTGGAAAAAGACGAGGAGCTATATGTACTGAGCTTGGTAAATGTACTGAGCTTGGTAAAGCGGCTCGTGTGCAACAAGGAAAAGGGATTTTTAGCGCCGTCATATGTGGCATTCTTGCTTGGTCGGTAGTAAGCGCTGCCTCCAAATACCTTAAGGAATCCACGGTGAATGAGGCCGAATACAAAGCGTGTTGCTGGGGTTCGAGTTGTTAAAACTTTTGGAACGACAAAAATCAATAATCTGTGGAGACTCCAATCTGGTTTTCGGCAGATGTGCCAAGAAATCGAGTGCAAAGCGTCAAGGATGTCTCCATTGCGTGCAAGAGCTCTGAGCAAGCATAGTCGTGGACTTCATTCGATATAATCCACGCTAAGCGTGATTGGAATCAGAGTGCGGACCAACTGGCTAGTGCAGCATTACACAGACAAGAAGGGGTCGAGTCAGTACCGAGCGAAGAGTGGCCAGGGTTAGAAGTGATCTACCGACCCCCAAAGCTGTTCGTCCCCAAAGAAGAGGATCGGGTGGTTAGAGTATTCGCGAAAACCGATCAAGGCCAACCATCAGAATATCAGGAAAAACGGTGCGATAAGAGGTGTTACAACAGCTGCGAGTGGAACGTATTCGGAAGGCTCAAGAGGAGGGAATCCGATTAATGGATCTTAAGGCATATTTAAAAGGGCACCCAGGAGGCCAATCGGCAGAATCGGCACAGGCATGCAGCAAAATGGCCATAGATTATGAATTCAGCGAAAGAGAATTACTGGTATACTGTCCCGTCCAGAATACCGACGAGGGCTACCGAGAAATGACCGCCCGACCAGTGATCTTCGAATTCCTCCAGACCGACGTGTAAATCACTACCACGCTAGACTGGAAGGCGCTCATCAAGGGGTCGGTCGCACCTACTATCGGATTCGCTGATATCGCCATTGTAAAGGATTGTATCAAAGTGTACAGCGGTATAAGGGATTATAGGTGGATTATATGTGGATTGCGAGACAGGAAAAGGGGAGCTGCCCTTCAAGGGACAATCCCAGGCAAAGTCGAGGTGACCTACCCTTTCCAAGTCATAGCAATGGACCATATTCTCTCGCTGCCCAAGTCACATAGGAAAAACACTGACCTATTAATTTGGGTCATTTTATTCACTGGGTATGTGATGGCCAAGGCAAGTGCTTTGCGAACGGCTCAGAAGGTAGCCGAAGGGTATGAAGAATGTGCTTTTCGGTGTTTTGGGGCCAGAAAGGTGATACGCCATGACCGACAACCCAATTTCATGTCGGACTTCTTTCAAGCGTCTAATCGCATGGTGGGTCAGCGTCAACGGGCGACGATGTCTTACCGATTCCAGACTAACGCAACCGTGGAAAGAATGATAAAATCCCTGAAAAGGTCTATTAAGATGTATGCCTCAGATGTGGTGCAGCAAGATTAGGACGAATACGGAGAACGGCTAACATTCGCTCTGAATACTGCACACGATGGGAGCGAAAAGAGACACCGTTCTGTTTGTCCCACGGTTGGGGACTCTAGATCCACCCTGGAAGCAACGTTGCCAGTTGTGAAAACCATATGCAAAGGTTCAAGGGCCCGAATATGGAGTTGTCACATCCAGAGTCACTACCGGCGTACAAGGGAACAGGTAAACAAGCATTTGCGGTCGGCCTGTCAAACCCGGGTGCTAGCTTATAATGAACAAGTGGTCGGT